ATGAATTTGAGTTGTATTTATTATACAAATTTACCCAGGAAGGAGATACTCTTACAGGGAATCCTGTGCAAACCCTGCTTACTAGACTGAGTGAGCGGTGGTCAATGCCGTTATCCCTCCACATCTACATATTCTGCATCCCTGGATTCAACCAACTCCAAATATCTGGGGGAAAAATAATTGCTTCTGTTTTGAACACATACAGAGTTGATTTTTTATCTGTTGTTACTTTTCATAAACAATACATCTAACAATTACATATATAGCATTTACATTGCATTAGGCTTTTTACATAATCTAGAGATGATTGAAAGGGTGTAGTCTAGAGATGATTGAAAGGGTATAGAAGAATGGATATGGGTTATATGCAAATAATACCCTATGTTATATAAAGGACTTGGAAACTGACAGATTTTTGGTGTCTAGAGAGATGCTGAGCAGTCTCCCTTGGATGCTGCGGGGTGAATGTATTTCCCACTGACTCATAACTGAAAGAGTATAAGAGAAAATAGGTCCAGCACTATGGCGTGGCAGGCTGAGCCTCCGCCTGCAGCACGGATCACATCTGAGTGCCAGCTTGTGTCCCAGCTGCTCCTCTTCCAATCCACCTCCCTGCCGAATGCCTAGGAAAGAAGTAGAAGTTGGCCCAAGTCCTTGGACCCCTACGTGTCGCTCCCCCTCTTCGTGGAGGAACGACACTAAACCCTGCCTAGGCTTCATATCCGAGTCACGGCACCATTATATCGCTCCCCCTCTTCGCAGAGGAACGACACAGGACCCTGCGTTGTTCTTTTGTCTGCTCGGCCCTCCCCGGGTTTGCTGCTGGTTCTTCCCGGGTTGGCTACCGTCCCTTCCACCTCCGTGGAAGGGCGGTTCCCCCTAGCCACTTTCCCCACTTCCGCGGGGGAGCGGCACACCGCCGGCCGGCTCTCTGGAGGGCTGCACAGGTGTTCCTTCAGATAGATGTTCCTGGTGCATGTTGTCTCTCTCCTCCTTTATAGTCCTCTTCCACCAATCCTAACTCGGCTACCCACACACCGAGTACGCTGCTCTCCTCCAATCAGAGTCAGCTCCTGCTGCTTAATGGTTGAACTGGAGGCAGCTGTGTAGAAGCTGTTTCCTCCTCTCCCAGCGCCATATTGTGGGAGAGCAGATGCATAGAATAAGTCTTAATTCCAGTAACAGTCTAGTCTGAGTTGCTCCCAGTTGCTCCCCACACCTACGCCCATGTTAGAAACGCAGAAGCAGCTCCTGGCTTCAGAATGGTCCAGTTCCAGCTGTTGCAGCCAGTTGGGGAGTAAACTGGTGGATGGAAGACATTTCTCTGTGTCTCTTCCTCTTTGTCTGTAACTTTGCCTCTCAAATAGATAAATAAAATCTTAAAAAAGATGAAAGATAGGCAGAAAGAAGGACCTCTAAGCCAAGAGAGAAGAAACTGAAAATGTTGCATGTAGATTTATAGGGAAAGATCTGTAAGCATAAAGGGTGAGGGGTGCAGTAGATAATGATAGCAGTAGACCAGTGTTTTGCTTTGATGGACAAGGTCTTTGCTCATAAGGCCTAAGATGTGCCAAGGAGACATAAGGCTGTTGTCCTGTGGTGTTTTCTAGAATTCAGTTCTGCAAATCCCTTATGATGTCACAAAGATTTGTATAAGTGATGGCGAGTCTGAGTATAGCCACACAGGGAGGATTCCTGGAATCTCTGGCTAATTCCAGGGAATTGAATGTATTCTTTTGGCTTTGTTAGCTGTAAGTGCATTGAAATAGTACTGTACTGTTTAGTAAGTGCTGCTCTGAGAAGTGCCCATATGTCCCCTTTGTATGAATATACTGCATCATCCTTGGGTATTTCTGAATTCTGAGGATCAGGCCAGTGCAGGGGCAATGCCTAGGAAAGCAGGGTGCCCTGGCTCTCCAGTCTTGTAGCTGGTGTAAATTCTGCCGCATGAGTACTGTGCTAAAGAAGTTGGACTATCATCCCCGGAAGGCATTATTAATTTTGGGCTCTTAAAAGATGACCTCATATAGAAATAAAAGGCTAATGTGGGCTGTGAGATGTGAGAGTAGAACCAAAAGCATGCAGTGCAAAATGTTGTCTATTTTAGAGTTAATCTGATGTATACTAAAATGGGTGTGGTAATACCTTTATATAAAATTTAAATTGGAAGCATTTCTTTTAATTAGTATGATTATAGTCATACTAAGAAAAAATGTACATAATTTTCCTTATCATTCTGTCAGGATGTCAGGACCATTTTCAAATACAATCTAAATCATTGGGTTTTTTCTTTTTTTCTTTATTTTTTTTTTAAGTAAGGTACTGCGTTTCTACCTCATTTTAAAATCAGTAGTCCTAAAAAAAAATAAAAAATTAAAATAAAATAAAATAAAATCAGTAGTCCTTACCTCATGTCCTGTCAGTTCACTGTTTAAAAAAAATAAATAACAAAATTTGAAACTCCAGCCATGTTTGAATCTGATAGGCTTTTTCATGTCAAGCTGCCTCGGCACATCCTGCTGCTTTTGCCAGAATACAGGTCTCCTGTTATTATGCCAGGGGCGCCTTCTCTCATCAGGCTTCAGATCAAGTGGTATCTCTAATACACCTTTTCTACACATGTGATATTTTTCATAAACTAAGCATCTACAAGCGTATGTTAACTGAATTATATTGATAAAACTTTTTATAACTTTTATAAATCTCATGAGGGGAGTTGTGTCTGCCTTTGTAATGCACTTGTCACATTCCAATAAAGGAATACTAATTTTAAAGGTTTGTAAAAGATCAGTATCTAAGTGGGAATTTAGACTGCCCTACCTTATTATGCAAACTGAGTTTTAAGTGATCTTGGAATGAGAAATTCCTTTTCCTCCAGTTATTTCTTTTTCATATGTGATTGTCATACTTTATCTCTGTTTGCACGTCTGAATAACGTGGTGTGTATAAAGTGCATGCTCTAATTCTGTGACCTGAATTAATTAGTACTCGAGTAAAATACAGATGCCCTTCTGGAGAATACCATTTAGTTCATCGTAATTCATTTCACAGTTGTGTAGGCCTTATTTCCTTTCATAATAGAAAAAGTTAATTAAATGGATATATAATTGTGCTGTCATAAATCTCTTCTTTCTCAACTCAAAATAATTTAAATTAATGCTTTAATTTTATTTAGTATGTTTATGTTAAAAAGTAAAGGAGCACTGTTTAAAACATAGTAAGGTTAATATTGACTAATAAAACTGACCACTGTATTTTAAATATTTTTTTACTTATTTGTTAATATAAGGGAACAGATTTCATGTAGTTCATAGTTATAATTCTAAGAACATAATGATGCTTTCCTCCATTCTTTCTTTTTGCTTTTTTGATTTTTGTGATAATCTAGCATTTTTCATTCTGTATTGCAGATATACTGATTACAGATGTACAGTCATTTTATGGGAGCTAACAACATATGATTTATTCTCTTAGTCAACTATGTCTAGCAAGGATGTTAACCCAACACATTGAAAATTAATAAAATTTATAAAGCTACAATATTTAACTCTTACATAGCAAATTCAAAGTGACAGGGAGTGTTCTCTGTGCCTTAGGTGACCATGTGACTTGGTGGGTTCTCAAAACAGCCCTGTGCTGTGGATGCCAGAGTTGTTTTCCTTTCAAAGATGAGAAAAAGAGTAAATTGAATTGCTCAAGACTGCGAGTTAGTTGGGGTTCTCCAGAGAGATGGAACCAATAGGATATGTATACGGATATGTGGGAGGGGATTTATCACAGGAATTAGTTCATGCAGTTATGGCTGCCTACAAGTCCTTTGATAGGCTGGATAGTCTAGAATGTTATTAGCTTGGCTCAGTCCAAGTCCAAAGGCCTTAAAATTGGGAGAGTAGATGGTGTTGGATGTCCAAACCTGCGAGTGGGGCGAGGAAAGGTCATTGTAATGAGCCCTGGCATCCAAAAGGGCAAGCCTGCGGTTTTGATCTCCAGCAAGGCAAAGGTCTCTCCCATCTCTCCCACTTCTCAGAGAAAGAAAACCAGTCCACCTTCTGCATTTGTTGGCCCCAGTGCAGAAGGGCCAGCTGGTGGTGTCCACCCACTTGAAGCCAAGTTCGTCCATGTTTCATACACTCGGATGCTCAGCTAGTTATTTCTGAAAACGTTACCACCTGTGCACTAGAAATAATATTTGCCACGTTGTCAGGTATCCCTTTATCTAGTGAAGTTGATGCCTAAAAAAACCATCTGAATGTGTGATTGTTTCTGGATTAAATGCCAGGGAGGAAGGCTCCAGGGCCTGTTGATGTACTCTCTAGGCCACCTCTCCTTGACAGGTCTGACAGGAGGAAACCCCTCCCGGAAATGATGGCTAGGGAAGCTGTCGCTCGCCACGTGAATTAGACCAGAGCTCTGAAGAATGAAAAAATACGGTGATAGAAATTCTAAGTGTGCAGTGAAGAGAAGAATGGAGATTTACCGTAAAGGAAGGAATAACCAAAAAGTAAAGTGGAGAATACAATATTTACTTAAGGAATCCTAAGCAGGTCAGGTAGATAGGATAGGTGTTTTTGTGTAGGAATTTGAAGAGGAAGAATATGTCCCCAGTGTTTTCATAGATATTATTTGATATATCATTATCTCCATGAAAATACAATGACCCTTAAGCTTGCTTATTTATATAACTCAGTTCTGGTATTGGCACTTGTATATTTGTGTGTAGGCTTGTGTGTACATCTGTTATTAACTTTGTTCTTTTTTATTTCTCACTAATCCCATCCATCATACCAGGTTAAGATCTCATCATGTCAGGAATATACTTGATACTCAAGAAGATGTTTTATATATGTATATATATATACACATGTGTATGCATTCATATACATAGATACATATATATATATGTAAATATATGTGATAAGAAAATCTTCTAGTTAAATTTTCCCAGATAAGAATGCAGAAATCGAGAAGCAGAGGCCTTGCTCACTCCCTTCTCTTTTCAGGTAAACCCGTGATGATTGTGACAGAGTACATGGAGAATGGCTCTCTCGATACATTTTTAAAGGTACAATTTAGTCTTCATTTAGTTGTTCAAAGTATTATTTATATAGTGACTGTGATGGTGAACTTGAAATTAGGCCACTTTAGAGTTAAACTTTTAAATAGGGTGGAAATATATGGAGTCAGAATAATTATACTCCAAAATTCACTTTGGTTTGAAAATTATCCTTTCCAGAACCTTACACAAATTACACATCCCTACGGTTTTATTGAAGTATCTATTAATTTGCAGAAAAAGAAATACACAAAAAACGAAGAATAAAGAAGTAAGGAAACAGGAGAGGGAAAGGGTTTGAAGAAGAAGGAGGGGGAACTTGAGGGAGGGGAGAGGAGGGAAGCCTTTACATGTTCTTAACTTACTTAGCGCTCATGAAATCAGAAAAGTACACTTGTTGGAAGGTCTATGGAGCTCATGGCAGGCACTCCTGGCACCAGCACAGTACTCACATCGGTGACATGGAAGCACCAACATGTCAGATGGTCAAACAACTGTAAATGTTGGTATCTTCCCTTAATAGTAAACACACTTTGTTATCTGTTGTAACGTCTTTGTGGGCCTGATTACACCCATAGGCTGACAGTTTGTGTCTGCAAATTGGTGACTATTGCTATGGATCAGGAAAAGTGATGGGACGGTAGCATGATTATAATTATAGTAGTTATAAGTGGACCCTGTGCAATGAATTGATAGTTGTCCAAATTTCTCTTCCAATCTCAAGCCCCCACCAGATTCTTGTGCCAAATTTCTTCTTCTTACCCGGAAGTTTTCTAGGCTTAGAAAGTCACAGCATTTCTTTACTTCAGAATAAGCATCAGTAAAGCCCTCTGGAGGCTGTGTGACAGCGCTGATTAGCGAACACAGCCCGCTTCTAAGCGCCGCTAACACTGTCCTGGTCCCTGTTCAGCCATCCCTTTCCCCTGTGTTGCTGCAGGAAGCCCCATGTCCCCGCTAGTCACTTCATCTTCCCCTCGGTGTACCACCCCAACTGGCTTTGTTTAAATCACTTCCAAATACATGCAGTGTTAACCCAAGGCAAGTACTAGGCTAGGGTGACAAATAGACTCCTCTGATGACTGAGAATAACGGAGTTACAATGCAGCAAAGGGTAACTAAATGAGGTTTTTGAAAAGGTCTTTCAAAGCCTGTGTCTGCTTTGAGCAGAGGACAGATAAGCGTTACCAAGTTATCCGTGTACGTTCCGACATTTTCCGTTCTCCGTCAGATAGAAATTGCGTGTGAGTCTTGATGGATGACGGGATTCATTTGGAGACTGTAGGAAGACCCTTTGAAACGGTCCCCCGGTGATTAGGTAGACTAATATTTCCACACTGCTTCTGCAGAAGAACGATGGGCAGTTCACAGTGATTCAGCTCGTCGGCATGCTGAGAGGCATCGCTGCAGGAGTGAAGTACCTGTCTGACATGGGCTACGTGCACCGAGACCTTGCTGCCAGGAACATCTTAATCAACAGCAACCTTGTGTGCAAAGTGTCTGACTTTGGACTTTCCAGGGTACTGGAAGATGATCCTGAGGCAGCCTACACCACAAGGGTAAGATCTAACAGAATGCATTTCTGAAACACAGACTAGAGACATTTAATTTTTAAAGCTGTTAAAGGAAATAGCAAAAGGGCATCTCTCCAACAAAGTCTTGCAGAGAGAGGGAGGATCAAAATCAGATAATTCTCATTTTAGAAATCAGCAAACTCAAATATTAAACTCAATGACACTCAGTATTCACTTTCCCAGTCTTGATCATTTATTTTAGCTAAACATACTAAAAATATTCTGAATTCAGAATGGATGCAACAAAGTAAATAACAGTTTTAAGTGTAAAAAAATCCAAGACCAATGATCCTATATTAAGACAAATATATATGTATGTATATAGTATGTGTATACAAATATATATGAATGTGTATCTTATATAGCATTATTGAGTAGATTAAGCTCTCTGCTGTATAGTATAAGCCCTTATAAAATAAATATGATAATACCTAGATCCAACTTTTTATAAAGGATGTCCCTTGTGCTGGAAGAAAGACCTACTTCATGGCTGGCGCCGTGGCTCAAAAGGCTAATCCTTCGCCTTGCAGCGCCGGCACACGGGTTCTAGTCCCAGTTGGGGCACCGGATTCTGTCCCGGTTGCCCCTCTTCCAGGCCAGCTCTCTGCTATGGCCCGGGAGTGCAGTCGAGGATGGCCCAAGTGCTTGGGCCCTGCACTCCATGGGAGACCAGGGTAAGCACCTGGCTCCTGCCATCGGATCAGCGCGGTGCGCCGGCCGCAGTGCGCCGGCCGCGGCGGCCATTGGAGGGTGAACCAACAGCAAAAGGAAGATCTTTCTCTCTGTCTCTCTCTCTCACTGTCCACTCTGCCTGTCAAAAAGAAAAAAAAAAAAGACCTAGTTCTTCAATATTTTTGATTGACATGAGGTATTGCAATGCTTAATTGCTTTTTTCACATACCATGGAAACTGTTAAGCCCCCCTCGATGGAAAATCAGTCACTAACTCATGTGGTCATAATTAGCATAAATTAACGCTTTTCCAGTGAAGTAATTGCTTCCTGATGATAGGGTATATAATTGAGTTTTTCCTATAGATGATTGCCAACCTGACTACAACAGAATTTTCTGGACAGTTTGTGATATTGTACCTCCTGGGTTTGAATCCCTCATAAGGTCCCATATTTGATTGTAAATCTTTTCAGTGGCATCCGCTAGATATCCTCTGTGTCAGAATGCCTGTTTTGAAATCAAGGATTCATCATTTGATCCCTTAGCCGTACAATTCAGTTACCTTTTGTTTAAACAGAGCAGTGTTTTCCTAGTTCTCATACTCTGGGTAGCTGACTTACATGTTTTATTGAATTCAACATTTAAAAATTTATTTGCTTGATAGAGAGAATGAGAGAACATGCAAGTGGGAGGAGGGAGAGATTGATCCCATCCACTGGATCATTCCATAAACAGCAGCTAAGTTTTGCCCACGCCACATCAGGAGCCAGGAATGCCATCCAGGTCTCCCTAGTTGGTTGCATGGACCCTATCATTTGAGCCATCATCTGTTGTCTGCTAAGATCTACCTTTCTGCGTTAACAGGAAGCTGGAATGAGAGGTAGAGCTGGGACTTGTTCCCAGGTTCTCCAATTTGGATGGGATATGGGTGTCACACGCAGCATCTCAACATGCCCACCACTCATTCACCTTTTTAAAATTATTAGACATCTGCTGATAGTCTAATGAAGTTTATTTCATGGTTTATAAAGCAAGTGTTTTTTGTTTTTGTTTTTGTTTTTTTTTTTTTTTTTTTTTTTTACTTATGTTGTTGCTTTGTGACTACATATGTTTGGGTATTTGCACTATATTCAATGCACAAGTGTAACTTACCCAAGCAAACAAAGGCTTCCAAAGGTCAGCTCAATAAATCAATCAATTGAATGCTGGGATAGGTCTCCTCCTCTAGACCTAACTGCCATTTTCAGTCCAAGTATTTGCATTAAATGAAAGCTCAATTAAGAGTTCTCCTGGGATAAAAGTTGCACTTAATAAAATTGGCACTTGGGGTCATAGAATAGTTCTTTACCAGGGTGATTGGTTGGTGTCTTAGTTACATGCAAATTTATATCCTTCAAGGTCAGTGTCAGTATGTCATGCTTCAGGCCAGGGATATGAACAGATATCCAGAGACCCTCAAGATGTACTCTGAGGAGGGGAATGGTGGCAGCTTGAAGGAATTGTATGTACTTAGAGATGAGATGGTATTGGAACTTTGGATGTTATTGATGACACATGGGATGCTCAGAGGACCAGCAGAAAAAGTATGGGCTGATGTTTAACACACTCAAGAAAATACAAACCGAAGAGTCTTATTAATTGGACATTTTAGAACATCAGTTCTATGAATAACTAAGTCTTGAGTGAGCTATGAAAATATTTAATTAATGAAAATAAGGAGGGTGGTAGGGGAGGTAGATTGGGAAGTATTATTATGGTCTTAAAACTGTATGTATGAAATACATGAGATTTGCTTCCTTTATTTAATTAAAAAAGTAAAATAAATAATTTTCAGAACAGTCGTCTTCAAATGGCATTGCCATAGATCTAAGGTGCAAACAATTTGAACCTACCTTCAACTTCCAGAATAATTTCAGGCATAGTGCAAAAGTGTTATTTCCTCATATATCTTGTAATTTGATTCATAACAGCAATTTAAGTTCCATTTTTTTCCCTGGGTCATGAATTAAATAATTCCTTTCCTGAAAAATGGGAAGGCATATGTTAGTCTTTTTTAGAATAAAATATTGGAAACTTACTTTTCTATTTTTTTTCAATAGGAGGGTACTTTGGAATATTCCTGGAAAAATGGAATTTAAAGACAAGTTTATTTGGAACAAGACATTTTGAAATTGGGACTGATATTGTGGTACAGTGGGTAGGCTGTTACCTGCAACACCAGCATCCCATACGGGTGCTGGTTCAAGTCCCGGTTGTTCCACTTCCAATGTTAGCTCCATGCTAATGTCCCTGGGAAAGCAGAAGATGGCCCAAGTATTTGAGCTCCTGCCACTCACGTAGGAGACCTGGATGAAGCTCCTGGCTCCTGGCTTATGTGGCCTAGCCCCAGCTATTGTGGCCATCTGGGGGGGGGGGGGGGGGGGGGTGAACCAGTGGATGGAAGAGCAATATCTCAGTCAACCAATCTCACTCTTTCTCTCTCTCTCTCTCCTTCTCCTCCCCCATTCTCTCTCTCCCTCTGCATCTCCCCTCCCTCCCTCTCTTTCTACAAATATGCCTTTCACACACAGTTAGCTTGTAATATGCATTTTCTATGAACTTTTGAGAGACCTTTTGTGTTTGCTTTGGGGTAAAATACTTAGTTTTCTAGTTTGGGCTGCTTTTAAAACTTAAGAGAAAATTTTTACCCTGAAAGGAGCAGGATATAAAAGTATTGATGTGAACTAAAAAAAAGATCAAACCCATTTTTCCACCATGTAGAAAAATCTCAGATTTGACAATATCATAATATTTTACCGATAACCCAGGTTCAATACTTTTTCTTTTGGTTGAATTTTCCAAGATACCAAAATCTTAGGCTAAACTGTATAAAAACAAAATTTAAAAAAGGACGCAATGTGGAGGGAAAGAATAGCTTTCTACCTGATCTTCATGCTTGTCTTATTAACTGGTAAACTTATTAAGATTGTATTCAGCAGCATGGGCTTTGCACTTAAATCTTCTGTGTCAAAAGCAGCTCAGAGGGAATTGGAGTCTTTCACTCATGCTCAGATATTCCTAGCGTCTTACTTATTGATCTGCTTGATCCCTGCTTTCCCCTACTTAGAGCTGCCATCCTGAGTACTGTAATTGAGCTGTAGGTCCTGTTTGTGCTCCACGAGTCAAGCAGAATTTAAACTAGAGAACTTCTGCGCAACCAATCAGTAGTTAGTCTACAAGTGCTTATGGACGGAGAGATGTGAAAAGAGACCACGTTCAGTCCAACAGTTTCACTTTAAAAACGCTACATCTCCGTCCAGACCTTCTCCATGAGACAGCCATATCCCCACATCGATTTGAAATATGCAAGGAGTTTGTTTTATTCTTTTTTTCCACTTTTAGGGAGGCAAAATTCCAATCCGATGGACTGCCCCAGAAGCAATCGCTTTCCGAAAGTTCACCTCCGCCAGTGATGTCTGGAGCTATGGAATTGTAATGTGGGAAGTTGTGTCTTACGGAGAGAGACCCTACTGGGAGATGACCAATCAAGATGTGAGTATGGAAATACTGTCTCTCGAGTTGGGAAAGAAATGCTGTGTCCTCTGAGTCAAGACAGTTGTAGTGTTTTGCATTTCCTAAAATGACAGTTCCTTAAAGAATATGAAATACTTTTCTTACCCTGTGACCCATTTTGTTATTGTCGAAATAGCCTTCATGCAAAAGCTAATGATGTCTTAGTACAAAGTAACATAAGTTACAGTTATATAAAAATCTAGTCCCTTGCCAGACAGTTTTAGCTGCACCAGAGTGATGTTTCACTCAATTTATGTCAGTATCATTTTCAAAGATGAAGAAAGAGCCATCAAAGAATGAATCCTGACAGGCAGATTTCTATGATTTGCATTTGATAAAGGCAGCTAAGGCTCAAACTGAAAGGATGAGTGATATTGATCTAATAGTGGATGCTCTTAAAAGACAAAAGAGAATAGTCTATGTTTCTTTAAATTAAAACACATTAAGAAGAGTTGAATTGTCTATTTAATTGGAGGAGAAAAAAAGACTTTTTTCCCACAATGAAAAAACAATTCATACTTGTTATAATAGAATCCTAGAATTAAGGGAACCATGAAAGAATCTTCTCACTTTCAAAATGTTTATGATATGAGGTCTGACACCTGGTTCTTTGGTCTTTGTTTTGTATTTTCTGTCATTAAATGCTTAGTACAGGCCTTTCCATTTTGTATCATATTAAAATTTGATCTTTTTCATTCAAATAGCAAGCATTATATAAGCGGTAAACATTTATGGAGCCTCATGTCATATACTGTCTTAAATGCTTTATTAATGAATATTTTTACAATTTCTTTGTAAAGCTAGTACATTGAACAGTTCTAACTCCATAATATACTTATTTAAATTATTATTTTGTTCTCCAATGTTTTTTCCCTCCATGTTCTATAAGATTCTCCTTTCCCATGCAAGTCCCAGGGATTGTTGGACATATGCCATATATCCAGCTAAATTGTGTTGAAACAGCAGTCCCAAGCCAGTATTAGCACCTACGGTCTATTATAGAAGTTAGAGGTGCAGGTTAAATTCATAGTTAAGATGCCAGTTGAAACGCTTAGATCCCCCATCAGGTTGTCTGGGTTTCCGTTTCAGCTGTGCTCCTGCTTCCTGCTGATGGGTGGAGGCAGCAGGTGATGACTCTAGTACTTGAGTTCCTGCCGCCCAGCTGGGAAACCTGAATTGGGATCCAGGCACAAGTTTGGCCTTTTGCAGCCCCAACTTTGCATGCATTTGGGGAGTGAACTAGTGTATGAGAGCTCTCTTTCTGTCTCTCTTCCCCTTAAATAAGTGCACATTTTAAAATCATCACATGACATTAAGTGTGATTTAAAGTCAGTCTCAAATCAGTTCATGGTGTTGTCCACAACCCCAGGTCACCCTGCGCCTAGTTAGGAGGCTTGACAAAGAAGCATGGTGAGATTTTTTTGCCTCCTCCTCTGCCAATGTCTGCATCTGGGTTCTTCTTGAGGGGTCCAGATGAAGAGTTAGCAAAGAAGAGTGCAAGATGACTTTCCTAGCATTAGGTTGTTGAAGCTGCCTGTGGGCAGACACCCAGATGTGACTTCTCCAGGGAGGAGCATGAGTGGCCTTTGATGGGGGCCTCCTTTGGACGAGGCCCCTAAAGGAGGCAGATGCCCACCCCTACCACCACCACTTGCACAAGACCACTGCCTTGCCCCTGGTCACTGTCTGTGAGTCTTCTGCACCACGCTGGGGTCTGCTTTACTAAGTTGAATGCTTTCCTGGTGCTCCCCCTGTAGAGATTCCCACACAAGCTGCTGCAGCCGGCCTGGCTTCTTTCAGATGTCCCCAGATGCGAAGCTATGACTACATAGCAGCTTTCCCAAGAATTATTTTCATGCTGCTCTTCTCTGATGGCAACCGCCAAGTGTGTCTGTGGGTCCCTGCCTCTCAGCAAGCCAACAGCAGGCTGGTGAAACTTGAAGTCACCTGAAATGGCTGCAGTCGGTTTCCTGGGTGCCTCACTCTCTTGACCTGGGGAGGGCGGTGCTGTCTTGTGTTTCTTCATTCTGGGAGAAGATAGTTTCTGTTGTCTTTAGCTTCGTGATTTAATGGCAGAACCATAGTGTATCTGTCATTCAATTTCTGCTATGTGTATTTATATATTTTTATTTAACCACCCATTAGAGAAACACTGTTTCTATTCCTGATTTGTGGTTAGAGAAGCACTATTTCTATTCCTGATTTGTGGTCACTAAACAAAGGCATAGTGAGGTTAAATAACTCTTAAGGACACAGAAACAGTGAAAGCTACACCAAGAATTTCAACATCATTCTCCAAAAATAATTTTTTTTAACCTAACACACTGTCTCCAGTTGAATCTATGTCTGATTTCTTCTTTTCATTTCCAGTCAATGATCAGCCTTCTCATTGAATATAAAATATAAAATATTCAATTCAATATGTAATGATTACTTTGGATTGATCTAGGCTAGACTGAGACCAGACTCACTTACTACTTCTTATTCTTCAGATAAATGCCAAATGCTGACATGACCAACAGAGCACTATGTGGTTTTGCTTGTAACTTAATCTTGGGTCTTATTTCAGGACTATTATGCCCTTTAATTTTTGTGAAATTATTGTTTTGCTTTCTGCCCATAAGAATTCAAGCACTGTTCCCCACCATGAGCCTGCTTCATTCAAAGGAAATGTTTGTCTCTGATTTGCCTAGTTAACTGGTGCTCATATGTAAGATAGTTGAAATTTTGATTCTGTTGGTTATACTTACTAGTCTTTCCGAATCTGTAGCCGATCATCCTCATTGTTGAAAAATACACATAACATACTTATATCTGTCACAGATAAAATTATGTACCATAGTAGACAGTGGTGATAGATGAAGTTTCTTCAGGCTTGTCATATTCACTTGTTTCTGGAGGTCTCTCGATCTATGCTGGTCCACCACAGACCCCTTCACAAGCCTCTCATCTTTTTCCTGAGACTATCAGGCTAACTCAAATGTGATTTCATATACCAAGGACTTTAAAGTCAACAGGAACCCAGTTGTACCTCAGCCTGTGATATATTTGCCTGCTAAAATCCATCATCAAAGCTGTGAGTCAGTGTACACTGTTCCAGTGGGTGGGCACTAGTGTTACACAGAGAAGGATGTAGCAGCAAGAAGATGTGAGGATGTGGGATGAATTCCCTAATCCTTTACCTCTTCCTGTTCCAGTAGCATTCTTGATGCAGCCTATAGCTTGTATAATAATGCTGTTTTTCTCCATCATGTATTTTTGCTTTCTATTTTCAAATATTTGATACTCAGTAGCTCCTTTGGCATTGTGGCATCAGTCTTACTTTCACAGTTGCTTCCTTTGCATTTTATTACTGCTTTGTAAATCTTTTTCCTGATTTCTGCAATTGGCTGTCTTGATACTCTTTTCAGATAATGTTATTTCAAACTATTGAGAAAAACCCAGGATGATGCTGATGTAATGTTTTTAGGAAGTTATAACAATACAAATAATATTTTGGCTTTGGAAAATTTTTCTAAGAATTAGAATGAGGTTTCTGGAAATTGATCATATAATTACAGATTTTTCTAAAATGTCTGTTCTCAATACAATGCCTGTTACATGCTTTCTTATTTCCTCAGCAAGTCCATGATCACAGTGACATTTAGGTTTTAGAGATAGCACTAAGTTTGATATGCCAAAATTGCTATCCTATTTTGTATCCAGGAAACATGACAAAGCAACTGTATTTGAAGATAATGATCAGTGAATATTTGTTTAGAAAAAAGTGCTGAGAGCAAAGTAGAAGCACTGATTTGACAGTTCTAAGTGACACATCCCACAGTCTCTGTATCCCAAATACTCTGAATCTGAAAGGACTTTGCCACCATGAAAATGTTACATTTCCAGTCCATCTAGGACAATGTAAATTGTATGGAGAAGACTTTCCTCTTTGTCAAGGGGGCAGAATGCAGCAGTGCTTTCTTTTGATTTACATTTGCTGCTGCCATCACAGAGAAAAATTGTAACAACATATCCTAAAAATCAACTAGAATGACTGAGACTTTTTTTTTTTTTTTTTTTTTTTTTTTTTTTTTTTTTTTTTTTTTTGGACAGGCAGAGTAGACAGTGAGAGAGAGAGACAGAGAGAAAGGTCTTCCTTTGCCGTTGGTTCACCCTCCAATGGCCGCCGCGGCCGGCGCACCGCGCCAATCCTGAAGACAGGAGCCAGGTGCTTCTCCTGGTCTCCCATGGGGTGCAGGGCCCAAGCATTTGGGCAATCCTCCACTGCACTCCCGGGCCACAGCAGAGAGCTGGCCTGGAAGAGGGGCAACCGGGACAGAATCCGGCACCCCGACCGGGACTAGAACCTGGAGTGCCGGCGCCACTAGGCAGAGGATTAGCCTAGTGAGCCGCGGCACCGGCCTGAGACATTTTAAAATAAATATCAAACTATTAACTTGATTCAAGCTTAAGATGCTAAAATAATGTCCTGTAATCTGGAGAGAAGTGTATTTATTAACAGCAAACATTTTAAGTGTCAACATTTTTCAGAATCTAAAATAACCAGCAAAGACAATTCCATTGTACCTTTTTCAAAAAAAAAAAAAATTATTTCATTTATTTGAAAGACAGAGTTACAGAGAGAGGTAGAGACAGAGAGAGGTCTTCCATCCGCTGGTTCATTGTTCACTCCCCTGATGGCCGCAGCAGCCAGAGCTGTGCTGATCCAAAGCTGGGAGCCAGGAGCTTCTTCCAAGTCTCCCAGTGGGTGGAGGGTCCCAAGGACTTGGACCATCTTCTACTGCTTTCCCAGGCCACAACAGAGAGCTGGATTGGGATGCTGGTGCTTCAGGCAAGGGCTTTAAACTACTGCACCACAGCTCCAGCCCCCATTCCATTGTGCCTTTGTGTTTAATGACAGTCTTTCTCTTTTGTGTGCTGTAGAGTGTATGAACACAGATTCCACTAAGCATGAGGATTTCAGAATGTTTCAGAAA